ATGAAAAGTGCGTTTTGTCAACGAATAAAACACATTACTATATCCTGTGGCTCACAGGAATCTTTCAGAACTGAATCAATATCTCATCAGCTTGCAGGAGGTTGGAAGACATATAGGTATCATCACTGTTATCTCCAAAGAGCTTGAGTTGTGTGGAGTCAAGTTCGACAACCAAAGCAGACACCCAAGAGAGTTGCATAGAATGGCATAGGATCTAAAAGTAGTCCCCTGGAAAACAATATGGCTCATTGGCTGTAGAATTGGTATTTGCCCAAGTACATGAACATGGACTTACTCCCCTGCAAAGGACCACATGCAACCTCAAAACCACTGGTTGGTAGAGGAAAACTATCTTGTCGGCCCATTGTCAGGGCGGGAGTGTAGAACTTATAGAGACTGGAAGACTACAATATCTATAAATAAAAGCACAAAAGACTGAGGTTCATTAAGAATCCTTGGACCCTCCACGGAAACGGGGTCGGACCTAACCCGACCCTCGCAGGGGACAGTGGGACCCTCAAAACCCTGTCCATTTGAAGACCCGAAATACATATATTATATAAATAGATGTCGACATATTATATCTACATGTATATTTACACATATATCTACTGTATCTAAATAAATAAATATATATTTTAATATGTGTAAGTACATGTCTTTGGCATTTCTGCTTCCAGGAACCGCTTGACCTTGATCCGTGCAAACACCCGGTCGGTCTGCGGGGCTGCTTGCACCCGCAGTGGCCTCGGTGCTGGCACGTGGGCTGCTTGGTTGCAAAAGCTACAGTGCGACAAGTGGACGTTACATGAGCGCGGCTGGATGTATCTACAGTGGGTATCATTTCCTGGTTCCTTACTAAGCACCAGTCAGACAAAGGACAACAAGTGGGGCAAAAGGAGGAGATGCAGCATGATGCACCCCTGGAAGATCCTGGAAGGACATCACTCAGATTGATAAATGTTTTCTTTTGCCGCAATATATGGCAGCTCGTCGGTCCATCCACGTCACTCAGATGGATCCGCCTCCGTGTCATTCAGCACCAGTCAGCACCAGCATCCGCCTGCATCATCAGCACAGCCCAGGTGAACTCGCCCAGTCCACAGCCACCGCTCCTGAACGTGGCTCGCTTCGTCTTCGGCGTGGCCGGTACGGGCGATACGATGCGATCCGTGGCAGAAAAGAAAGCAGACGGTGGGGAGGGTGGGGAATGGTGGTCATGTGCTGCAAGTTGTCTATATATATATAGTATATTAATGAATGTATATTATAATTACTATGTTATAGTGTTATACATACATGCATCTATATATGTATATATTATTTTCTCAAAACCTCGCTGTGTAATGCAGTGAAGGCAATCTAGACTAGAGTCTGAGATTTCATAGGGTCATAGGGGGAGTTGACACACGATCTGATCATAGAGGTCATAGGGTCAGACCACAGTTGATCCATTTGATTCGTTAAGGATCGGACGGGGCTGGCTGGCTGTTCCACCACGGTTCGGCTGGTGACACCATGTCCGCAGCAACAAATTCTTGCGCGTTTTGGTGGCGGTTCCTGGTTCTGTGACCAGCAACGAGACCAACGAGCTTTATGGGTGTCAATATGTGTCAATGGCTGTGTAGTAGGGATCGAGACCCTCCAGTTCGACCCCCAGGAAGAAGGAAAGTAGACCAAGGCCCATTGACTGGAGAACTTCCTAAGCCTATTCAAGCAAACACCCACATAGTTTCTGACTCCAATGGAATACGTTTGGGGGTTCTCAGACTGGGTCAAAACAGAGACGTTGAAGCTAAGTCCGCTGAGGAGACTACACCATGTGCTTCGGTTCGGAGGGGATCGAGGATGAAATCTCCGCTGGCAACTGCACGTCTGTGCCTTACAATGTGGGGACTGTGAGGACTGGGTGATGCGCGCGTGCGCAAAGCATCTAGACCCGGACCTTAGTGCCCAACATACGTTAGAAAACGGGAATATATAACCCCATTAAACAAGAAACAGGTACTTGATGGTACTTGTACTCATTTTCCAAGGTACGGACTGAGACTCGAACCGGTTGGCGGATAAGCAGCGGCCGTCCTGAACGGTGTTTTGCCGTGTCGAAAGGCAGTCCACGGTGTCACTGTTTGGCTGTTTGGTGCGTTCTTTTTCTCGATTGGACGTGCACATCTGCTCCAAAAAAGAAGGCACCAAACAGCTGTTTGGCTGTTAGGTTCACATAGAACATATCTATGGAGGGCTGTTACGGTGTCTCGATTGGAGGGCTGTTTGGTGCGTTTATTCTCTTTGGGTGATTCTCTGCACTTTGAACTTTATTGCAGAGATTGTGCGTTCCAGACGCTCCCGCAGTGCATAGCCTCCCAGCCTCCAGCAGCGCAGGATGCTCCCGTACCTCTATGCCGGAGACAACACCGAGTGCGTGAGCAATACGCCATGCACGGTGAATCTGGATGGGTCACTGAGTTGCAAAAAAACTGGAGGCAAATGGGACGTATTGATCCAAACAAAGCACCAGGATTCGTTTTGCGATGGTTTTATTGCTACTAGATGTGTCGCGTGAGGTGTTTCACATGGTTTCACATCGAGCATGCCATGGTTGCGCATTGTACCCTCAGGTACGGCATACCCGACACAGCCGTCATCGCTGCAGTGCTCGATTCAGCCTATGGCAGTGGGACACAATGCGGTACTGGGAGTGGCTTGGCGGGTGACAACCCAATAGTAGGTTCTTGCTACTAGTAGTGATGCACTTGGTACTAAGTAGCGCTTCCCTTGTTACTATTAGCTTTGCGTTACTAGTAGAAATGGCCTCCAACCTAATAGCGATGGCCTCCACCCTAGTAGCTTCTTGCTACTAGTCTGGTTGATCGAAGATCAAATTCGCTTCCGCGGAGCAGAATCAGAAGTTGAGGCTTCACGTTAAGTGAAGGTAAAGTAGATTGAGCAGGGCTTCACGTTTCACACTTGCTGGGAGACACTCTGCGTCACCAAAAAGAACCATTGTCCTAAACCAGTTTTGGAGAACATGAGTCCAGCTACTTCCAGTGCCCTTGAAGTTGCTTTTCACCTCACTTCCATTGCACACTCATCCCGTCTTCCACACGTCATATATGTCCCACACTCGAGACCGTGGAGGCGCACCTACATGCGCGCCTGCACGCCTGCGCGCCTGCGCGCGCGTGCCATCGAGGTACTCAGAACTTTCAAGGTTACCGATCTTTCTTCTTGAATAATCCAGGCGCTACCGGCACGGGTGTTGTTCTGAACCAGATGTGACGGATGGCATGGGTGTGGTGAAGGAAGTCCCAGGATGGCCGCGCAAGACGGATTTCACGACATTCTCAGGTGGCCAGATGCGGCATTTGTAGATGTTCGATCAACGTTGAAATTTCTACGGAATGGGAGGCCTTAAGGCCACTACAAGTTGTGAAATTCTTGTAGCAACACCCTTCTCGTGTTTGCTTTTGTACATTTGTGAGTGCGTTTTGTGTAAAATAACGATAGTGATGGCACTCGGGCAGTTGTGTTCGGCAGTTCACGTCCTATTGTAGGTAACACTTTGGTACGTCTGATTCAAACCATTTCTGTAGAGAGCCAGTTTTGTAAAGAGAAATCATTTGTCTTCGTTCGATGTCGATCGATGCCGTCGGATCATCATTGTAGCAAAACCTTTGCACTGCCCGGCCCTCTAACTCCATAATATTTTTTGTTAAAACAACTACGCAGCGGAGAGTCTACAAAATGATTTCCAAGGTTTTCAGGTTCAGATCGCATGAAGCTGGAACATTAAATTTTTACGGAGCCACAATCATCAATAATCCATGGTCATTACTTTTATGCTTTGTCCTTTTGCCGTCAGGATCAATCTCTACAAAATGAGATTGCCATTGAAACGAGGCCACATGTTGTAGTGCAAAGTCTCAAAATCCAGCGTTTTTTGTAACATGTGTGCTTTCCAGCACATGACACATTTCCACGATATTTCTGGAAATCCACGATATCCTCTCCAGAGTCGACGACCACCAGGCACGGTGCTGGCCATCGAGGAACCCTACATCAGCCAGGGCAACCGCTCCGCCATCGTACGGCTCTTCTTTGGAGAGGCAGAAAGAAGAAACGAAACAGAACAAATACAGTGGTTTCAGAGGTTCGATGGCATGTTTCCCTCAAGATGTCCTGAAAACATGGGGGTTCATATAAACCACCTCTTGGGGTCTGTGCCATCTACTCTCAATCCACTAGATCGGCCCTTTTTGTTGCGACAGCGTTGCAAGTGAGCACGGCTTTCCGTTCTGTTGGGTGCACACCACATGGGGTGGCGGTGTTTGATATCCCCAAACCTTATTTGGGTGTGCATTTGCAGGGACTATTTAATATTAATGATATTAAGGACAGATTCTGCTTGTTTGCTTGTATTGCCGGTGGTGTTTTAGTTGAAGATGATGCAACTCAAGGTCGCGTGATTGTTCTGGCGCCTACCAAATATATTTGAGATACTATAGTCCAATTAGGTATTAATAAATACTCTCTTTGGAAAGTAAGTGGCCCTGGAATATTGAGTTGAGCCATCTACTGAGCCTTCCTGACAATCGGCGTTGCGCCATCTACTCCCCACATGGATATCAGCCTTGATAGATTATAGTAAAAGCAATCGAGGAAATTGCACCATTCCAATTTTTCAACATTGGAGAATTTGGGAAAAAAACACAGCTTATATTGTAATTCTTGGCTGTTTTTAGTATTCGTTCACTCACCACTTTGGCAACATAAAGCTGAGAAGTAGATGGCCCAACTCCTTTGACAGGTTTTAGAGAGAGAGAGAGAGAAGGAAGGAAGGAAGGAAGGAAGGAAAGGAAGGAAAGGGAAGAAAGGGAAGAAAGGAAAGAAAGGAAAGAAAGGAAAGAAAGGACAGAAAGGAAAGAAAGGAAAGAACGGAAAGAAAGGAAAGAACGGAAAAAAAGAAAAGAAAGGAAAGAAGGGAAGAAAGCCTGGGACCCCCTAACCAACAAATAATCCTGTCCTAACCCAAGGAATGCTTTGTGTACATTTTTTTATGTGTCACTTCATTCAGTATATTTGTCTCTGTCTGCTGCTACCTACATATGCTCAGCCACCGACAGCAGGAAGGGGATGTAGTGTGCTAGACCGAAGATTGTTTGCAAATTCGTGTGGTAGAAGAAGTTCGAAAAAACTGAGCGATCCTTCAGTCCTTTTTCGCAAACCTCAGGTTTAATTAATGCATCATGAGTGTTGATTCCGCCAGATCACTTCTTCTTGCTAGGCGATCTCCTATGGCAGTCAGCTCCTCTGTGTTTGCTATGAAGGCTAGTGGTGACAGGAGAGTGGTAAGGGTGTAGGGGGCTTGGTATCCCATCTCCCCTTGTTTTGAACTGCTTCTTTTTGCAAGCGGCAGAGGGAAGCCTCTCAGGTAAGTGAGATTCTTCTTCGAGGTGTTTTTGTTTCTCCGACATCCAGGTTTGCTCCTTCGAAAGTCTTAAAACATGTACAGCTCGATACTCTGCTGTACTCCTAGCCTGGCAGCGAACAAGAGTCTTGAGAGCAAGTTTTCCCTATTGTTGTGGAGTGATCGGCATTTAGAGAAGCTTTAAACAGTACAATCCGACGGTAGCGTCCGCCAGACCACCGGACCGACGCTCTGAAATCAGGCAACGATTGCGTGACGCCCAGCCGTTTCAAGGAGCCTGTCGGCTATTTGCGCGTGCGCCGCTTGGTGGAAGTCAATGGGGTGAATTCCATGGTCGGTGAAATTCGTTTGGCCACACACTCCATACTAGTCGCGTACCTTCCCTCAGTTCTGAATTGCATGATATTAAGCTGTTAAGCTACACAAATCCTTTGCCACGGCAATTCTTTGTTGTTCTGCTAAATGCTGATCCACCTCCTGCAAGCCTGTGGCATCCGGTGAGTTCCTCTTTGGTGACACGCCCTGACTTCTTCTCACGCCGCCCACACCGAGGTTCCGCTATTTGTTGGTGTCTTTTAAAAGAAGGACCCCTGCCCCAATGGAAGTTGATGGAAGTTGGTCTATTTTCCTTCTTCCATGGGGGTCTCCGATTCTTAATACACACCCATTTACCCACCCACCCATTCGTTTTTTTTCATCTGCTTTCATGGCCTTGTCGTGACCAAGAAGGACATCAAGCAGGTCGTGCAGTGAGAGAGCGGTTGCCGGCTCACAGACCGAGGAAGCGCTGTGAGCACTCAGAACTTCTGCCGTTTTGGGCAGCCGCTTGGAGCACCGAGCAGAGATGGAGCGCAGCCATCGCGCAGCCAAGCGGTTTGACGTGTTGGACGTGTTTGGCTAAATGGGTTTGAATGGTTTGGGGGCGTCGTGTTAGCTGTAACGGTCGGTAAACAATTGCTGGATCACTCTTTTAAAGAAAGGCTTCAAATCATCATCATCCACTGTTACTGGTATACAACTATAATGGCATACCTAACGATTGGATACGAATGGTTGAACCCGCAGAATTTTGAGCGGCACCTCCCGCTGTGGGTGGTTTGCAGACACTGCTTGCCATGCCTTAGGTGCACGTTGATCATCAATGAACCATCTAAAATGAGTTCATTGCTTTCTCAGGTCGAGTCTGCATGATGGCTTGATTGGATACATGGTGGGTCCAGACAGTTTTGTACAAGGGTGTTGGTGTAATGTTAAATGATGTCAAATGCATCAATCTCCAAACCACCTATATATCGAAGAACACAAATTGACAAACACCCATGGAACACTGGTGAATCCATGGACAAGCCATACTGAACAACTCACCTCCTGCGCTTTCGGGATTCTCCAGTGACATACGACCATGATATGTCATGGCCATGACCCTTTGCATGGTCTTCAGAAGGTTCATGTTGGCCACGATCCTCTATCTTGTGTTGTTCTTTACGTCTGTATAAACATATATATGTCGTTTTCAGATGATCACCAATGCAGAATCTGCTCAAGGTGAACATCGGAGGGAACCAACAACTGATTTCACGATCTCATGCTGACCTCCACCGTGCAGCGGACAAGATCTCTCCAGCGACGATTTTCCGCCTGCGCTGAGGACTTGTGTTTTGAACATCTCCGGGCAGTACTTAAGGCCCGCAACGGGCTGAAAAGAGTGAGTGTTTTTCTTTGATTTGAGAGTTATACAAGTTTATAATATGCAGTTATACAGTTATACACATTGTTTCCCTTGTCTCGCTTTTCTTTACTAGATAACACAAGCATCCACAAGCATCGTAGCAAGTGTCGTCTCGCTTTTTCAACACTTAACTGTCTCCATCAGAGTATCAATGACATTTCCTTGAGAACCAAAACCGTCTCCCCTGTCCATCCGGAAGAAACCAGTCCCAGGGACACCGACACGGCGGTGCTGACTCCGGTGAGCTTGGCCAGTTGCACCTCCTTAAGCTTTCAGGTCCGGACAGCTTTGGGCGGAGCTGGGACGACGCCGAAAGCGGACCTTGGCGGAGCTGCTTGGGTGGTCCACTTCGGTCGTTGGTGAAAATGGAAGAGGAACGTGGTTTGGTGGATTTCTAAGAGTTGACGATGTTGATGGTTGGCCATTTGGGGGTGTTTTTCACGGCTTTTCTTGGTGAACGTCAGAAGTATGATCTATCTATTGCCATGCACACTGGACTATTGATTCAGACTTGTTGGGAGCTGAGACTCAATATACCCATATGTTTAGATAGCAAACCCATGGCCTATACAGCTTCTTTGACGTTGCGGAGCCGCAGCCATGTCCGACACGGGACCTGCGGAACTTCCGCGGAATGTCAGCCAGGTGGCCGAACAATTCAGCTTTGACTGGCCAGCTGGAGCCCTCAGCGGAGAGATGTTTCGCTCGCTCGCAACTCGCGACTCGCGACTCGGGGAGCGCTGGAGTGAACAAAGCCCACCAACATCACCTGAAACATCGCTCCTTTAGGAGTGGAGAGGAAGATCTCAGTTCTGACGACGGATTGACACAGTGGGGTTGGGGGGATTTGACCCAAGCCACAGGATGACACAGTGGGCTTGGTTTCCACTATGGGGCGCCCAGGTGGATCTGACCCAGGAGGTCCGCCGTGCGGCATAGGATAACCACAAGAACTCACCACTTGCAGCAGGTTGCTTTTGAGACACTCCTTCTTTCATGTGTCAGCAATGAACAGCACCATTTCCTACAAAAGAAACAAGTAATGATCAAGAAATACATTGAACATGTGAAGGAACATTGAAACAGTAATGGCTGAGGAGGGCAGTTTTGTGAAATCTCAGAGGTCCTTCAGTGGAAGGAACACCCCAAACCGAGGTCCTTCTCTCCCTTTTGCAGGTCGTGGAATCGTCTCATCCCAGACCTGGCCGTTCACTTGCTCCTTGTCTCAGGCAGCGAATGCGTCCAGTGCCTCCAGCAGCTTGCTGGAAGTGGCCGATGGTCTGAATTTCGTCCTCTTTGACCTGGGCGTGGCCAGAGACAACGGCATTTTCAAGGTGTGAAGACGGTGGCCACTGGCTGGCCGGCGGTTGGTGCAACGAAGAGAGCGCAATTTTGGGTTTCATTGTGATTAGTTCATGAAACGCGTTCTCAGGTCCGTGCAAAGCGCGACTTGATTCTTGTAGTGCTCGGGTGTGAATTTAGACAGGGAGACCCCAAGCAATGGGTGTTGGCCTATTATTTCCCTTCTTCCAGGGTGTCTTTGAGAGGTCTCCCTCTTTGAATTCACATTTACGTGTTTTCTCGTCAAAGGCCTCCCTCAACATCCTCAACCCCTTGACAGAAGGAAGCATGATTAGAGGCATACAGGTTCGGTTTTTCGTGTGAGGACGGCTTCCCACGGGAAGCTGGCATGGCATGGGCCAGATGACCAGATGATAGACCGCCGTCTTGACTCAGTGTTTATGCCGTCTTTGGTGCATACCGCCGTCTTTCAACAATGGAGGGGGATTTTTTCAATGGGATCTTTGATGGCGAGGAGGTTCTCAAGTTAAGGAGATGCCTTGTTTTGTATCGTGCTGCTAAGTATGCATGATTGTTTGGTCTCAGCAGTGACGAGCGGCCCGCAAACAATTACTGCAGCTACTTATCGACTGTAGCTTTTAGCCTATTCTCCCAATTCACAAACCAAGCACCCATACAGCTGTTAGGCCAAGCTGCCACTGCAACAATGTGCAACACTGCACAAGCGCAGGTGTGCTATTGTGCCTCCTACGAGGGTGAGGAGCGACAGCCGTTCTGCAGGGCCAGTTGTGGCCGTGGAATTCGACTCAGGTGGTTTAGACGGGAAGGGCTGCTGGATTTGAGCTCCCCAAATTTCTCAAGATCTCATCCATCGCACCGTTTGCCAGGTTTAAGGAGAGACCCACCGGCTCCCAGGTGCGAAGATGTTGTCTATTAGCAAGTATATAATATAATACAATTTTAGATCAATCATATTACACATCTGACTCGACGTTTTGGAACAAATTACAATTTACTGTTTTCCGCACATGAAATTCAGCTTAATCAGCCAACAACATTGTCGTCAAGAAACAACCAGAGACCCACCAACAAGTCAAAAACATTCTACACACACCTGGCAAAGCCTTGAAGCAACAGGAGGAGCAAGGTCTGGCCGCTTGAATCCCCAAATTCTCATATGAGATGGAAGTAGGCTATGTTTCTCAGCCACTACTCACTACACACTTTGTCACCAAGACACAGGTTCACACCAAGACAGCAGAAGCCACCTGCACGCCAACTTGTTCACGCCATCCCTGAACACCGATGCAACACATCATTAGGTTCCTTGCTGTAACGACTCAACCGGTTGTCTGAGTCTGTCTTGACCATTTTTGACCCCGCTAGGATTGCGAGGGTTGAAAATTGGGAATTTGTGGGCTACGAATTGAATCACTTATGAGTTTAATAAGTTGTTTTCTGGAGGCCTTAAATCACTGAGGCTGTCAGAGAAGGCGAAGGTCGAAGACAAGGGTGACAGCCTTGTCCTGTTTGCGAGGAAAGTTTCGCTGATTCGAAGGGAGGACTCCTCCGTCCCTTTTGGTGAAGTTCTGCAGAGGTTGATCGATGAGGGCGTCCGTTTCAATGGCAAGCTTGTCCACCGAACTTTGCTCCAGGCTTCTGCGGAGAAAGTGTTGGGGCAAATCCAGCGTGAGTTTGGCCGATCAGTTTGGGCAGAGAGCTACACCAAGTTGGCCCGGGTTTCCCGATCGTGTGTGAAATACCGCAGAATTGCGGTGTGGGGTTGATGCAGTTGGATGGCTGTCCGGCACCTTTTGAAAGCTGGCTTTCTGCCACCAGCTTTTGGACATGGCCGGCTGTCGCTGAGCAACACCCCTCCAGGCACTTCGAAAGACCAAAGGCGCACTTGATGGAGGTCAATTGGCACGCCTGTGCGCTATGAGGAAATTCCTCTGACAGACACGACTTAAAGGTGGATGCAGCGGATGGTGAAGCCTTGGTGCAACAGGAAGATGCTTTCGGGAAGTTGACCGGCTCGCTGCCCAAGCCATACCGCGCAGTCGCTGAACTTGTGGAAGGCCTTTGGGAGGGAGACTGTGAGAAGGAGATCAAGGACCTCTTCGCTTCTGACCCGGATGCGCAGAACAACCTTTTGTCTGAGTCCCCGGAGACAAAGAACAGCAAGCTGTCCAAAGGCTTCAGCGCTGCCGCGGCTGTTCAGACTCAGCAAGAGTGAAATGTTCAGGTTCGTTTTCTACTTTTTCAGTTTGTTTCGGGGAGGTGGATCAAAGTTATTTTTTCTTATCTTCTTCTTCTTGCCTTTTTAAAATGGTTTTTGGGCCGGGTGTAGTTCCTTCATGTTTTTCGTGTCCTTCTAAAAGGTCTTCGATGTGAAACTGGGAGATGGTTGCCCACGCGAGCCGATTCGTCTGTATTAGCTTGTTTGAGCCACAGAGGGCCCATGCGCTCCTTGAGCCGAGCGGCCCCGGTTCGAGGTTCGTTGGCTGCAGCTGAGCTGCTGCTTTGCTTGAGGTTGCGGTAGAGGGAAGGTGGCAGTTGGAGTGTGGCCGAGGCTCCGCCTTGCCCTCAGGGGTTTGATCTTGATAAAGCCGGCTGATCCATGCGCGAGCGTGGAATGTAGCCCCAAGCAGATCCAAGCAAGTTCTTTTGAACAGAGATTAGTTGCCCACACAAATTCTTTTTCTGGAGGGTGTTCGCTTGCTTTACTTTTCGTCTCTCAGACACATTCTACAACGCCACAGCTGGGTTTTCCTTGAGCACGATTACGGTATGGAATAAGGTGTGACGTTTAGAACGTACAGGTGGCAAGCTATAAGCAATTCATTGTTGCTTTGCGCGGACTTCTATCCAAGCCGCAAGGGGCCCATGCGCGGCCCCCTCTTCGAGGTTAATTTGCCGCAGCTGAGCGCTGCTTCTGTCACGGCTTGGTCATGCTGAGCAGCTGCTTGTCACAGCTTTGGCAGTCGGAAGGGTGGCAGCTGGAGTAGGCTGCGCCTTCAGACACAATACGCGAGTATATATGTGTTTTGAGAGTTACTCTAGAAGCACAGCAGATGCATATATGAGATCATAGGGGGCATGAAATAGTCTAAAGCAGATGCAAGCAAGTTCCTTTAAACTCTTTAAACGCAGAAATTTGTTGCCCACAGGAAGTCCGATTCCTGTTTCTGTAGGGTGTTAGCTTGTTTCGATTTTCGGTTTCAATCTAAGCCACGAAGGGCCCACGTCTTCTTTGAGCTGAGCGGCCCCGCTTTGAGGTTCACTGGCTGCAGCTGAGCAGCTGCTTTGTTGGAGACATTGCGGTAGACATATATATATATATTACAGTTGGAGTGCTGAGACTCCAAAAGCCGTGCCATGAGACGTTTTACGCAAGTATGTGTGCCTGAGGCCTTGATTTAGCCGACTGATGCATAGGAGGGCGTCTAATGGTCTAAAGCAGATCCAAGGAAGTTCCGTTTGAACACAGGTATGTTGCCCGCACTCAATCCTTTATCTGTAGGGTTTCGCGCTCGTTCGTTCGCCTCGCTTCGTCCGTTCCGCGTGCCTTGGTTTCGCGCTCGATCCGTGTGCCTTGGTTTCGCGCTCGTTCGTTAGCCGACCCCGTGCAAGCGCTGTGCCATGGAAGATGAAACAACACTACAGTAACGCTGACAAGCTCGCTGCGGCAAAACAGCACTATGGCGTCAAGCACAAGAAGAATACGAAATCAGAAAATCGCATGTACCGATTATAGGTAGCTTCACATTCAAACGGTCGCGCCTTCTGGCGTTTTCTTTCATTTTTTGGATGGTATATCTGTGTGAGGAACGCTTTGGATGTCTTCAATGCTTGTGATTGTGTTTTTTGTGTCCATGACAAGCAAAAATACGTGTATAGGACGACGCTCCTTATTTCTGTAAATGAATAACTTTGAGCCATTCGAAAGGTCAAGTCAGATATTGAATATATAACTATATATATATATAGTTTTATTGCTCAACTGTTGCCGTTCTGCTTTAAACACCATGTCATCCGACGTCATCCGGGGCTTGAAGAGCCACAGCCCGGTGATTTTCGGGGTTTGTTCCTACGTCTTGACTCGCACCCGAGGTTTTCATGTGTTTTCGGTCCGAAAAGCCTGCAGGTGTGGGGGAACCGTGTGCACCTGGGGTCGTGTCGCTGCTGGCAGCGCCCCCGAATTCTCTCTTCGCCCATGTGAGCTGCCGGCGTTGACTCGAAAGCAACGCCAAGAACCGCTTGCACCAGGATGCGGACACATTTCCTTGTAGCACTCCAGCGGAGTTCACACAAGATGCTGGGACATTGGCTGCTTGGCTGAACCGGGCCCAACCTGGAATCGATGTTTTATGATTTTGGCTGGTGGTTGGTACAGTACCAAAGGTTCAACACACACCAAGGGGCCGGGGCTGCTTTTGATTGGGGAACTGTTCATGTCTACATGGTCCAATTGTGGGAGAAGCTCGAAGCTTCAGTTTGTCACACATGAGGTGGCGAGAAGATGAATCTACTGAAGCATGTAGAAAATGGCTGCCAGACACCACTTTGAACCATCCTTATCGAGTTGGTGTGTTGCTTCATCTCCAGGTCATCATGCGAGTGGACCCGCAGGACGCAGAGATGTCTCCAAGAGATGTCCAGATGACCTGGCAATGAGGGATTGGGAATCTTTGGACCAAACGGCTTTGGGAGGGGGGGACGTTTCAATCGTTCCAAACATCTTTGAACACATCCATCAGCAGGCGTTTTTGTTTGCAGCTGCTGTGCATGTGATGTTCGCTTCCTGCTGCGCCAGTTTTTGTATATACTCGCTCGGGTAGGTCGGGGTCGTTCGGGCAGGACTATGAGTGCAGCATGAACCGGAACTGTTCCATCGAGGTCCGTGGACTCTTCATGGCCGTTGGGGACGCCCGGACCGAGGACCGAGGACCGACCGAGTGAGTCATGACAGCTTCGGGGTTCGAACGGAGCGAACGGAGGTGGTTTGGTGGTCCGGGCGGAGTTGGGTGGTCCGGATGGTCGATTTCAATTAGAGCAGCAGATGGGTGCGGGACTGGAGGGCAGAGCAGCGGGTTTGCTCTCACTGAGGAGTTTGGAGGGTTTTTTGCACTGTGAATGCATATTAAAGGCATCGTTTTGGTCTGTCCTATTCCCTGTAGGTAATATATGTATAATCAATCACTATTTTTGAGAATGGCCTGCAACCAACCATCATTGATCCACTGGGCCCTGGCAATAGGATAGACCTATATTCCGCGTTTTTGAGCACAGCCAGATACATGAAACGATCCTCCCAGGTCCCAGGTCTTTTCTACAGAAAACCCGAAGCTGATCGGCTAAGGCCACGGACGTTTTGCTGGAAACTGGTGGACTGTTCGACTGTGGTACCGTCGTACCCCAGGAGGCCATTCGTGGGCGTTGGGGAAGCGTTTGGGCCTCCCCCTCTCGGTGTGAAGAGAGTCTATGGCCGAGGACTTGGACATGGATTTGGCACAAAGGTTTGTGATTGTTCACGTGTCACTGTGGTCACCAAAAAACATGTTTGGTGTAGGACATAGTTCAAGATTTTTGGGGTAATATTTGGAGCTAAGCACCCCAAGCATGGGACGTGAACGTCTTCCAGTAGACAGTACAGTAGACATTCCTTTGACGTGTTTTCTGTTGAGGGCACTGAATACTGCATGTGCGGGTTGTTGCTGTTGAGGCCACATGCATACATGACATGGATAGCCAGGAAGGAGAAAGCCCAAAGAGGGCTGAAGCAAGGACTTTGATTCGCCTTGTCGCCCCCCTTTGAGGACTTCATGTTTGCAGTCATCGAGTATTCCGTCGTTTTGTGTAGGAGTGTCTTCAGGCTTCACTTTGGGGACCAATCGAAGCAGATCAACCAAGCCAATTAAACAGACAAATAATCACTATATAAGTACAATTGGGATGATGTAAAAACAAAGGATCTGGCTATACGGCCATATAGTACACATATACAAATATATATATATATATTAATGCATGCCAGCAGGACACTGATCACCCTGGTCTTTTGCCTGTTTTTTTTCGGATCACCGTGGTTCCCCCAGCCATTTGGTCTGGCCAGGCGGACGTCGTGGGCGGTGTGGCCTTTCAACAGAACTTCTTTACCGCGCAGGCGGTGGCAGAAATGGATCAAACTGAACAGCACCAGATGAGACCAGAAGTGACCCTGCACAGTGAATTTGAACCCAGAAAAAAAAGGAAAACACATGAAACACATCAAACAACTTGAATAGAAGGATATCGAAAGCATGCCATTTAGACTACCATCCTTTTTTGTGTGGTGTGGTTCCTTTCCCCAAGACGCTGCGACTGACTGGACTCCTCTCTTCAGGTGAATGCCACTGGTGACCCCAACGCCTCGCAACTCTTTGCGTCCGGAGACTTGAGGAGAACGACTGGCGCCGAGCGCGCCGATTGGGAGACGTGTGGAAACGACGGGTGAGAGACGTACGTGGGGTCATGGCAGAAGCGACGACGGTGACTTTGAACAGAATGGACGAAGCTTGGGCATTCATTGATCAGTGAGTCATGGATGCGACATCTCGGGACGTGCACAGGGACGTGTCAGCGAGGTGAACAGAAAGGACGAAGCTACCCTGGGTGGTTTGGGGCTCTGGGTGCCATGACCGCCAAGTAGGCCCCAAGTTACGTCACTGACAAAAAGAGCGAGAAGTCCACTGATTGGTGTGGACTCCTCTCGGATCCCGGACTAAAGCCAGTTATTGGATGTTTGTTGCAGGTTGGTCTCATTTCGATGATATAGAAGCCCGTCTTGAATGGGAGAAGTACCTAGATGCACCTAAACTGATCATCAGTGTGCAAGGCATGAGTGTTTCTTTCTGGGTCCTGCGGAGTCTGTCGCAACCTCTTTGGGCCCTTGCTCGATATGAGGATCCTTGAACATCCCTGGATCACATCAGTTTTCACCAGAGAAACAGGTTGCATGACTTGTTCTTCGCTCCTCATTACACCGCTTCCAAGTTGGTGAGTGGAAGGGGTGACTGGACGTGGTGACAGTCTGTTTCCTTGCTAAAGAGCTTGAACGCCTGCGAACTGGTGCGACTCCTACAGGGAATGGGGACATGACCTCCGAAAGGGACCCCTTCTCTTCCCGACTCCGACAGCGCCCATCACCTTGAAACTTGATCACCTTGTGCGTCACCAGGCTCATCTGCGTGGTCCGCCCGTCCGCCCTTCACAACTGGACTAAGGCTCATCAGCTTCACAGCTCCGGGTCAACCGCAGCTCTGCTACTGCTCCACTTACGACGGGGACCGCCGCCCAAGGGGTTGCGGCCGCGACTCCTCGCTGGGCGGGCCGGAGTCGCGTCGGCGAGACGAGGTCGCATGGTGGAAAGCGACCCATGTTTTGATGCGCCGAGATTCCGGAGATGTGCAAAAGAGCGGTCAAGGTCAGGAACAAAGGGGTTTTGGACAAGAATCACAGGATGATAACTGAATTTTGGTACATGAAAGAACATGCTTTTTAACATTAAAGACACATCATGTTGCTGTTCTTTTGAACAGTTGCATCATGTTGCATCCAAGGACATGACAGATCACACCTGTTAGATCTTGGAAGAACGGTCAAAGTGACGCCTAACCGCCTCACCGGGTGTCCAGACCGCTCCGACCGCCTTCCCGACCGCCTTCCCGACCGAAACCGCCTCCCGCCTCGCCAGGACCCGTCCGCACTGAATGACCAGATCCGGGGGCCTTGCAACGATGCAGCTCGGGAGCTCGGATCGGATCGACGGATCGACAGTGCCGCGGAATCGGGACCTTCAGGGCCTTGGTTTTTCGGGGTGTTTTTGGAAGGCCTATATGACCTAGTGGGTAGCCTACATTGAAGTGATGTGATCCATTTCGACATGGCAAGCATGCCAGACCTTGGCCAATTCAATGGTTGGATGCATGGCGGTCACAAATATGATTTCGATCTCAGTGGTTGGCCATCGCAATCAGAGGAAAGAGGACATGTTTCATAGGTAACACTGGAACACCCCTGTGTATATTGAAGTATATTGTGTATGGGGTCCAAACCCGGAGCCCTGTCCACGTAGCGTGAGCTTTCAGGTGGCTTAGTGTCCTGGTTTTGAGACCCACAACCCA